AGGTCCTGGTGGACGTCGCTTTGACTGCTTCAAGCAGATTATCTGCTGAAATGAAGTTGAGGGAGGTATTGTTCCTCGCTCCTGCAGCAGGTTGTCCACTGTCACTGCCCCGGGGCCGGCACCTAGATCCTAGACAACCACCTGAATTGACAGAATGATACCAGACAGTTCCATCTTGATTGAGAAGATACCGTCTGTCACACACTTGACAGTTTCCTCTTGGGTGTTCATCTTTTTGGCTGGAAAGAGGCTGTGTGTCAGGTGCGACATGCGCCATGCCTAGATGTCCTGACGCCTGGCTGCCCACTAAGTGCACCCTCTCCTTCCTGGATGGAGTGAAACAAGGCAAGCATTACCCTTCTAAGGGAGTTGGGCATGGCCTGGACACCGTGTGTGGGTAAGCTATGTGTTTATGGGCGGCTGGGTCAGGCGCAGGTAACAGGGTGGGGGGAAGATGGTGGGTGGGCTGTGCTGGGGGCAGGGGTAATGGAGTGGGGCACACGAGGGAGGCCGCTGTCACACGTATTACACACTGACAACACTCGGGGAAATCACTAGTGCACTTTGTTTTGACCACTACACTCACCGAATTTGCTTGGGAACGCACTAACTTTCCACTAACATCACTGCAAGCTGCTCGAGAGCCTCCCCATCACTCCCTCCCTTCCCCGCTCCCCGCCTGGGGTCTGGTGAGTGTCGGCACTAGGACGACGGCGACCCTCCCCTCACCCATACACAGTCCCTGCCTCGCCAATACACAAATTCCAGACAACGCACCTTTCTACGTTGATTTTGTTGGCATGAAGGAGATACGGTTCTTCTTGTCACCCCCGAGGCCTTCAGCAGGTATTCATACGTACATAGGTCAAATCTTGGCCGGCTCAGGCATTGTGGTCCACGTAGAAATTGGTTGAAGTGTAGGACCTTGCTCATCACGTGTCCGCCCCCTCTCCGTACTCTCCATATATGTAGATATATATATTTATTCATAGCACGGCATTTTTGTGAAAGAAAAGAAATAGTTTAATTGAACATGTACTTTTGTAGAGAAACATGGTCAAGAACGTCAACAATATAAAAACAGAAGGATGAATATCCGGAAGTGTCTGTTAATCACGTGGTATTTTTAAGAAAATATTTAATGAGAATATCCCTGCGCGACTGGTGCAGAGATTGTACCAGCATCTTGGTGAATGCCAAACGCACGCCATACCCCTGACCCACAACATGCAGAGAAGCTATTAAACCCCGGACGCTACTGTATTACCAAAGGATTCTGCAGATCCCAAAATATCACGCTATTGCAATTTCCTTCTGTATCTGACACCAAAGTAGAAGAGAACTCAATACCTACTCTAGTGTGCATGAGATCTATTCTTAAAATCAGTTTGTGGCAAAAGGAAGGGGGTATACAGAATTCTTAAAGGACACAATAGTCTCCCGGGTTAAAATTGCATCTTAACATGTGCCTCAGTGGTTATCTTGAGGTTATCTTGAGATGAAGTGTTGCATCTTAACATGTGCCTCAGTGGTCATGACACTCTGGTACTCTCTACTGTCAGAGCGGTACCTCTTGCACTGTGCCAAGATATATTAAAGCTAGACGCCCCGACCATGTTTGGTACGTACCCAATAGCAATTTCAATTAAAATGACAAGGAGCCGGTGGCTGAGCGGACAGAACACTGGACGCGTGATCCTGTAGTCCCGGCTTCGATCCCGGGCGCCGGCGAGACACAAGGGGCAGAGTTTCTTTCACCCTGATGCCCCTGTTACCTAGCAGTAAATAGGTACCTGGGAGTTAGTCAGCTATCACGGGCTGCTTTCTGGGGGTGGAGGCCTGGTCGAGGACCGGGCCGCGGGGACACTAAGCCCTGAAATCATCTCAAGATAACCTCAAGAAGGATACCTCAAGCGAATCGGCTTCACCCTCTAATAGAGGGTTAATTCTGATTATTTGTGTGTTATGAAGGTAGAAAATGACCAGGTCAGCAGGGAAGACCTAGACACTTGTTAAATGCGAATAACTGCCTTGAAGGGGCGACATATATTAAAACAACGAAAACTTACACCTCCTTCATGGGATTCCTTCTATCCAGTGTGAAATGTAAACATGACAAATTCTTCTCCAAGATTGTTACTCCTTACCATAATCTACATTAACTTATGTGAATTGCGACTAACTCCCAAACATACTTACTCACAATCTGTCTCTTGACTAATCCACAATTTTTATAAAACAGCAACATTTGAATACCACCATTAACGCCACCCCTCATCTTTGCCATCATAAGTCCATTTATACTTATATGTCTATTTTTTTATTATCCTCACACAAATAGAAGACATCGATACTTCCAACATCTGCCAAATTCTGAACATTGACGCACCACTGAAAGTGCCGCATATATCAACATCTCCACTTGTGCAGTCATCGAGAGGAAAAACCTTCATGCAAGCTGCACGTATCGCGAAGAAGAAGAAACACTAGAGAAGCTACCAATCATGCTCGTAGGTTTAGACAAAAACTATACCTAATGTCTTAGTGAGTTTCTTCCATATTAATATGTATTTAATATTTATCAAGGTTTGAGACTAAAAGTTAATATTTATTTTAATCACGCATTGCTAATGTTTTCAATACTTTTAATAAAAGAATTTTGATCTTCAAAACTAACTCAAATTAACATGTCCATCCAATTTCAGCACATGCACGAGCTACAGAAATGACAGTAACAACCTTCCTCAAGAATTTGTCATGTTGACATTACACACAGGAGAGAAGGAAACTTATGAAGGAGGTGTAAGTTTTCGTTGGTTTTTATATATGTCGCCCTGATGCACCTCCTGGGAGATTTTATCCATACCTTCAACTCCAAGACTATAGAATTGAAGTAGAACGAATTAGGTAGAACGAAATCACTGAAAGTCAGTAAGAGATAACAAGGAAACTTTCAGAAGTTCTGGGGCAATAATGTCTACTCACGTAAACTCGCTGTCATTCGTTCCAATAGCATGAAATTGGAAGAAATACTTTCTACCGTTGAGTGCTACAAATTCATCTGTCGCTGGATCCCATCCACCTCCTACGTTCTTTAGGACATCCTGTGTGAGGGAAGAAATAGAGAGAAGAGAGTAATTAAAGAAGTACATGAAAATCTGCTACCATTCCTAAGAACTTTTATGATCAATTTGAAACATGTAATATTTATTAAATGTTTTTATGCTAAAAGTGTATGCTCCTTGCTAAACCTAAAATGGATGCAAGTGAAGTCACGAAGGCTTTCTGTAGCTTTCGTCACGCAGAATGGAACTTTGCGACCACTGGGAAGAATGATTAAAATTTTCTACCTGACGTATTAAAAAAAAGTCTACTATTTGGTAAATTGAAATGTTTAAGTAAACTTACGTCAAAGCGGGAATAGGCAAAATCGATATAGCTTCTGCCGGCACTTCCTTAACCTTTATGGTTTGAGGTCTAATAGATGAAACATTGAATAAAGAAGACGAAGCATTAAATAAAGTTGGCTTAGGTGTAGCCGTTGCATTAGTAGTAAAGCTGGAAACCGATGCAAGTTCCGTAGTAAGGTGGGTAGTGGTAGTTATAACACGGGAAGGCTTTGCACGTTGGGTCCATTGTGTGCGATGCACAATGGGAGTAATCTCACGAATTGTTGTAGTTTAACAGACGATGAGTCACAATAACATGGCTAAAGATATGGTGATCAAACTACTCATCATAAACTGAAAAAAACGACGACCTCTTGGTTCGTCCTGGACCAGGACTTTATAATTGTCCAGGACAGACCGAAACGTCGTTGTTTCTTCCACTTTCCGATGTGTGATTGGGTCATCATGTAGACGTTTCGTAAGAGTTCTCATTATAGCAGGAATACAAGTAGTATCTTGTATACAAAGAACACTCAGGGCCAGAAACATCAGCATCTCTCCGCTAAACATTTGCTGGAACAATCCCATTAAGTGCCCCTCCATAAATGAACAAGGTTATATTAATTTAGTTATGTAGTCAGAACTAATGGCAAAAGTTATGTTACGTAGGAGGATTAGAACCTAAAATTTAATACTGTTAAACTAGCAGATATAGATACTAGTTAAATTGATAGAAATCTAAATTAGTTTCCATCAAGTCTTATCCAGCAAATCTATTATTTTTTTTCAAATATATAAATTAGGAGAAACATGCCATTAAATTCTTTGAAAATGCAGCAAAAAAATTTGGTTTAAAATTAGACCTCCAACTTAAAGACTACCAACAGACAAAATAAAACGCCAAAATATAAATTTACAAATGCAATGGATTGTGTACCGACCTTTACGAGAGATATATATCACACTAAATATGCAAGACACAACTTTTCTTCATTTAACCAGAATACTCGGAATGATTAAATGAATGAGATGGTCTCGCCTTGTTAGCTCGCACCAAGATCACAAAATACAGAAATTTCCAATACGGTATAATTTGCTAAGTTGGCATATACCAAGAATAATGATAATAATGATAATAATAATATGAACAGTAATAGCATGAAATCGTTACCTTTTGAGCGAATTGAGATTTAAAAATAATATAAAATGTTCTAAGTCATTATGCTTTGTGAGCTATTACTTATCTAAAATTTATGGAACGTATTTCCTGACAGTTCTATCATATCATTTAATATACATTTAGTCATTCAATACCAAACTTTCATGTTTGATAAGTTATATGATGGAAAGGTCAGGAAATACGTTCCAAGAATTTTAGATATGTTCTACCTCTAATGACCTGCTGCATTTTCTATTATTTTTAATTCTCCATTCGCTCAACAGATGGCGTGTTGATGCTAATAATATTATTATTATTATTATTATTATTATTATTATTATTATTATTATTATTATTATTATTATTATTATTATTATTATTATTATTATTATTATTATTATTATTATTACTGTTATATGCCAACTTGGTAAATTATACCGTACAGAAAATTCCTGACAGTTGTCTACTTGATACGAGCTTACAAGAAGTGACGGTTACAGCTGTTTGATCATTCAACGTCCTGCGGTCGTGAAAAGAAGAGCTTTGTGTATTTTGTTTAGTGTGATATTACACCGAGGTGAAGGTCAGTAGTTTGGCTGGATTTGCCGCTATTGACTTAATTTGGCTTTGCTTGACGTTAGTCTTTAAATTTGAATTTAAGGTGATTTTGGTTTGCAATTTTACTATTTGAGTTTTTCTAAACTTGCTAGCAAAAAGATTTTAATGCTGGTTGATTTTTTTTTATACAGTACTAAAGTGTTTAATTTTTCTCGTCAAGGTAGGAGTTAAAACTTGTGCCGGTTAGCCTTAAAGTACAAAAGATTCTAATAATGATTGCGCTTCATCTATTGATATTTAACAGATGCAGGTGTCTACCGGAGAGATACTAATGTTCCTGGTCCTGGGAGTTTCACTTCTGCACCAGAGTAGTTCCATTCCTGCTACTGTAAGACCATCTAACACGACTACAGTTCGTAGGACCACTCCAGTTATTCACCCCACGAAACTGACCAAACTTGTTAGAACTGCCAGCCTTACTGCTACTACCACACGCCGTACTAGGATACTACCATCGGCTTCTAATCTTACTGTTAACGCAACAGTCCCACTTAAACCAAGTACACTTAATACGTCTAGTGTGTTAAAGGCTTCCTCCACTAAAGGCCATACCATAAAGGTCAGGGAGGCACATGCAGAAGCTCCTTCAGCTTCAGCTATTCCCGCATTGGTGTAAGTTTGCTAAAGTGTACTTAACGTGACATTAGTAAAAATATGTTAAAAGTATCGAATAACGGTCTTGTTTTTCCCCAGTGGTCGTAGAGTCGCATTCAGTGTGGCAAAGGCTACGGAACGCCTCCATGCCTTCGCTCATGTCCACTTCAGGGTAAGCATGAAACTTTTTAACTTCGCTAGTATTTAATGCAAATTAAACTTATTTTAAGTTAATGGCGAACCCGGTAGCTTTCTTTTTTAAACTTTACTCCTTAAACTTCCCTGGTATTTAGCTCTTGATTACAGCCACTCCCTCCCACAGGATGTCCTAACAAACGTAGGTGGTGGCTGGGACCCAGCAACAAATGAATTCGTAACGCCCTATGACGGAAAATATTTCTTCACATTCCATGCTATTGGGGCAAACGACAGTGACTTTACGTGAGTAGACGTCAGTTTAAGAACGACAAGTTTCCTTGTCTTGAGCTAAAGTTTATTTTTAATAATATTTCTTCCATAGAATGTCGCTGACGAGGAATAGAATGCCTGAGGTGACTGCGTATGGAACGACTACTACCTTCGAACATGGTTCAAATTCCATAGTCTTAGATCTGAAGACGATGGATAAGATCTCGCTGGAGCTCCATCAGGGCGCAATATATGAAAACCCTGGCAACGAATCCTACACTTCCTTCACCGGGTTCCTAATTTCCAGTGTGTAATGAGATCTCTGCACGAAACTGTTTGATTTCTATAATAAACTAAATTGTAGCATTAAATGTTTAATATCCAAAAGACCGAGTTGCCACTCGGTTTCTGGTGTTTAATTAAAGCATCAATCTCAATTAGAGTAGGCTTCTTGGCTCTTAACAACTGTAAATGTGGGTTCGCTAATACCTAATTATTACATTAGGCTCTTCAGTAGTAAGTAACGGTTTAGGGTGTGCGACAGAATTTGCTAAAAATAGAGCATTTAAAATGCTATAGCTTCTTGACGAAATAAGGGTCGATAATTTCTTAACGGTAATTAGCCTCGAACATCAATGTTAACCATTGTCAGGGACATTGGTAGATAAATTTAGACGTGATAATGCTGGCTTCGGTAAATATATTTATCGCCTAAATAATTATAAATTTTATTTAGTCGTGCCAGTTTGCTTTTGCCTTATGGTTATCTTGGGTTTTTGTAGGAAGAAAATTAATAGTAAATTGGGTAATGTCCATGAGTAAACTCGTATACTTAGAGATTGCTTTTCATATTTCATGACTTGTAATCAAACTAGAGGTATCTTTTTCTCCTTAATACAAAGCCTTCCCGGTTTGGTGCTTTTTGATTACTTTTTTTCTCCTTTTTAAACCCTACCCTCAAATGCCGCCACATTTTGATAATTTTAGCTTCGGCCTGCCGGCTTCCTTACATAGTCTTCTTGGTTTTATGCCCTTTTCAGATATTTGCTTATTTGTCGGCTTCCTTGCACCCCATTCAGACGTCCCATACTCTAATTTTTTTTTTTCAGGTAACGGTACATATATGGATTTACAAACATGACGTTGGATTAAAAGATAACTAGTACATAAAATACCTAAAGCCACTTGTATGCATAGTTTCAGGCAAGGTAGAGGCATACTTTTTGGGCATACTTGCAGTGTTCTTACCAGTGGAAAATGGATGGCAAAGGAGTGCGATTGACTTAAAAAAAAAACACGAACACGGTGTTGGCAGAATTCTCGAAACGTGTACTCTTCGCCTCTTACGAAGTTGCATTGACAAACCATACATAGCCTCCTCGGTTTAGTGCCTTCTTTTTGATAGTTACTTGACAAACCACCCCCTCCCCATCCGGCCCATTGGCGTCGTGAGGGGGCTTGGTGGACGGCTGCCGGAGTGTGATGCTCCGTTGGGCAGTCCTCTGTCCTTTTCTGGCCTTGCACTCCTGCTGCTGTCTTCTCCAATTGTGCCGGATCACTTTTCCTTTTCCTTGTTTCGTTTTTCTCCCCCTCTTCTCCTATCTGCTTGTCGTTTCCTGCCGACCTTTTGCTTGTTTTGGATTCTTTCTTTGGACTTCTTCTATTTTGACGCCCGGGTGCTTGAAGAGGCATACTCTTGCACCCGTAGAACTGTAGTACCCAACGTCTCGAGCGAGGGGAACCTTTTATTGTCACCCCCTCCCCGCTAAGCTCGTCGCCGTGTGGGGGCTTAGTGGGCGGCTGCCGGAGTGTGATGCTCCTTGGGACAGTCCTCTGTCCTTTTCTAGCCTTGTGCTCCTTCTGCCGTCCTCTCCAATTCTGCCGGGCATCTTTTCCTTTTCCTTCTGTTTCGTTTTTCTCCCCCTCTTCTCCTATCTGCTTGCCGTTTCCTGCCGACCTTTTGCTCGTTCTGGTTCTTCCCTTGGACTTCTTCTATTTTGACGCCCGGGTGCTTGAGGAGGCATACTCATGCACCCGTAGAACTGCAGTACCCGACGTCGAGAGCGAGGGGAACCTTTTATTGTCAATCCCCACTTCGTCACTGAACCCGATCTCGACGACCTGTCGGTTTCTTAAGGTGGCGTTTGTGGGGCGTATACTCGCGACGCACCCCTAGGAGGCCCCGACAAGATCGGCGATAGCTTCTTGTTGGGTGTCCTGCCTCTAATTGTGGCTCCATGGTGGGTGTGGGGGCACATTCGTGAGTGAATTCTTCTTTCGTCAAGATGATTACCCCTGCTTCGGCTTCTTCTGGTTTACCTTCTCAGGCTCGTGGGGTGGGCGACCAAGCCCCCGAGTCGGTCCGTATTGGAAGACCGGGCTCTGTAGCCTCCGCTGCATTGGGCCCCGACCTTGCTCCTCCTTTGGCCTCTGACTCCTTCCTCTGGCTCCCCTCCCTCCTCTGTGGTTGGGTCGAACCCCAAGCCCCCAGTGGTGACTACCTCGTCCCCTGGCGCGGCTCCTTCTCTAGTTGTAACTACTGCGCCTTTTAACCCCTCTCTGGGGGTTCTCACCGCCGTCCTCGTCACGGCCGCCTTCGCTCGATTCCTTCCAGTTCTGCTACCTATCAAGCCTTGTTTGGTCCCGCTTCATGGGCCAAATATTTTGATCTCCTCCCTCTTGATTCTGCGCCTCCTGACGATTTCTCCCTCCATCGACATCTCATTGATTCCGTGGATGCCTACATTACTTTCAACCCCACTCGTCTCGGTACACGTGTCGTTGCTGCTCCTTCTCAGGATGCTGCTTCCCGCTTGGCTGCCTTATCCTGCCTTGGCGAGACCCCCGTTCGGGTCTCGAAGAACGCTCAGTTGAATGCCAGTGTTGGCACTATTTTGCTCCCGCCCCATGTTGCGACCGGTGTTCGGGACCTGCGCGACTGCCACGACGATATTCGACATATCCTCGCTGCCCAGGGCCATTCTATTCTCCAGGTGGACACGTTTACTCGTCCCCCTCGTGGTAGTCGCCGTCAACCCCTCCGAGTTGTGAAGATTACCTTTGATGGTAGGACCCTTCCACCCTCTGTCATTCTTGCTGGTGCCAGGTGCTCTGTCCAGGAGTACATTCCTTCTCCTCGGCTCTGCAACAAGTGCTGGAGGTTTGGGCATGGTGCCCTCCGCTGCTCTAGGACTGTCTCTCTCTGTCCTTTGTGTGGTGGTGAAGGTCACTCTAAGTCGGAGTGCGCTTCTCCCCAGGCTCGTTGCCTCAACTGCGGTGAGGCCCATCCTACCTTCTCCCGTGCGTGTGTCCATTACAAGCTTGAGGCAGCCGTCCTCAACTTGAAGCACCGGGAGCGTTTATCTTTTCCTGGGGCGAGGCGCCAGGTTCGCCGGCTCCCGCCTTATGCTACTATCTCTTATGCTCGCGTGTTGCGCTCTTCCTCTCCTCGTCCTTCCCGCCTTCCTCAGACACACAACCGTTTCCGGGCCTTGGACCCTGATGCGCCCACTGCCCCCTCCTCTGTCCCTTTGGGTTCTCTCCCGAAGGATCCTCCTCCTGGTCCTCTGTCTGGGGTTCCCCTTCCTTCTACCCGGTCTGTCGTGTCTTCTGTGTCTTCTTCCTCGTCTCCCTCCGATCCTCCTTCCCATCCTCTTCCTCCATCTATCGGCTCTCCCCGCCGCCTGTCGGTGCGGGCGGATGTCCATCGCTCTCCTAACGGCCGTCGTGTGTGCTCTCGTTCGGCTTCTCCTGTTGAGACACTGGAATCCGTTGCCCGGTACGTAGTTGCTGGGACACCGGTCTCTTTAAGTCAGAAGCGTAAGCCTGGCTCCTCTCCTTCCTCTTCCCCGGTGGGTAAGAAGGCTTCGCTTTCTTCCTCAGCTCCTCCTTCTGGCTCTGTTGCTCCTTCCCCTCCCGTTTCAGTGCTTGCGCCCCCTGTTCCTGCTATGGAGGTTTCTTTGGCCCCTGCTTCCCTTTCGGTTGCTGCTCTTGCTGGGGTGCGCTCCCCTCTTTCTACTCCCCCTCTTCCTGCTGCTGTCCTTGACTGCTCCTCTCCGTTGTCTCCTCCGCTCCTCCTCCTCCGGACCCTGCCCGCCCACCTCTGATCTGTTCTCCCGTTTCCTTCCCTCCGTCTTTACTCAGTTTACCCATGCCCCCTAACCCTGACTTTGCTGACCCTGATCCCGACCCTGATATTCTTTAACGTGCTCTGTTGGTCTTTCGCCTTTGTTTCTTCCTTGTTCTCTGTTTTTGTCCTTTCTCTTCTCGTCGTTGTCCATTCTTCAATGGAACGTTCGAGGTTATTACGCCAATTTCCTCGAACTCCAACTTCTGATTTCGCGGTTTTCGCCCCTTTGTGTCTGTCTCCAGGAGCCAATGCTTGGTGCTCGTCCTGGTCGTTTTCGTGGCTATTCCTTTCTCCCCCCCCCCCCCCCAGCCATTGCTGGGGCTTCTAATTCTTCTGCTCTCTTGATTCGGGCTGATGTTCCCTTTGTTCCTTACTTTTTCCTTCGCCTCTCCATTGTTCTGCTGCTCGTATCTTTGTGGGGAAATGGTACACAGTTTGTTCCATTTATCTCCCCCCGAGTGTCCCGCTCTCTCTTCCTGATTTGAAACACCTCCTAGACTCCTTGCCGGAGCCTGTGCTCCTGCTGGGTGACTTCAATTGTCGTCATTCTCTTTGGGGTGACGTTCTGACGAATACCCGGGGTCGCCTCCTTGAGCCGTTTCTCCTCTCTTCTTCCCTGTCTCTTCTGAATTCTGGTGAGCCCACTCATTTGGACTCTCGAACTCGCACCCTTTCTTGTCTTGATCGTTCTCTCTGCTCTTCTTCTCTTTACTTAGATTTCACGTGGCAGGTTCTTGATGACCTCCATGGAAGTGATCATTTCCCCATCCTTGTTTCCTTTTTCTCTTTTCGCCCTTCCCTCTCTTTCCCTAGGTGGCAGTTTGCTAAGGCGGACTGGACCCTATTTTCCCTCAGTGCTACTCTCTCTGACCTCTCCCTTCTGCCCCTCTCTCGCGCTCTCCTCCTTTTTCATGACACTGTCTTCGACGCTGCCCTCCGCTCTATTCCTCGCTCTTCCTCTCGGGGTCCACGGAAGTGCGTTCCCTGGTGGAATGCGGACTGTGCTCGGGCTGTCCGCTGTAAGCGTGCAGCCTGGAAGAAGCACCGCCGTAGGCAGACGACCGATTCTTTTCTTTTCTTTCGGAAAGCGAGTGCGGTGGCCCGTAGGGCCATCCGTACGGCTAAACGTGACTGTTGGGCATCTTATGTCTCCACAATTACGTCCGAAACCCCTCTGGCCCAGATCTGGAAGCGTATCCGCAAGATAGCGGGTAAGTTCGTTCCCGATGTTTCACCG